TTTCGGTCGGAGCGTTCGCCTTTTCCTTTCGGTTGCGCGTTTATCGATTCCACTCCCGGAGAAATTATCGCGGAAGCGAGCGGGTGACGGAGGGAGCGAGTCGTCCCTCGAAATTGGAATTATTTTTCAAGGAGAACACGCGGCGTAAATCCAGGGGTCGACGCGGTTCGGCTGGCTCCTGGCGCGATTACCCGCGCGACCAACGTCGTCTCCTCTTCGTCTCTCGCTCGCTCCCTCTCTGGGCCCTGGCGGTTAGGCCAGTTTGGCTTAGGATGAACTCGACCGCGAGAGTATTAAAGCCCGCTGCGAGAAGACGTACAACGAGAAATTAATCTCAATCGTCGCTGGGCCGAGGCCCCGTCATTTATCACGACTCGTTACCGGGAACGAGCGCCGGAATCCACGGATTGATATGAAGTTAGCAACGGTAGTCTGCGCCCGATTGTGTCGTGACTGCCGCTGAGATCTATTAGTCAAGCGGGCCGAGTGGCGAAACGGAAAATGGAAGAAGAAACCTGCCGGCTGTGGGAGCGGCAGCGCGCGCCCTCCCGAGCATCCGACTGGAACGGAGCGGGAGAAAGCGAGAAAGCGAGAAAGCGAGAAAGCGAGAAACGGAGTGGAAGTAAGGGAGATGGAGAAAGAGAGAAAGAGAGAGAGGGAGTGAGAAGGGGAATTGGAAACGGAGATAAAAGGGGCTGGAGCGTAAGGTTGATTCAGCGAGGGCGCCATGGGTGGGCTTTGTCGCGGTAAGCACTCGCGTATCATCGTCTTCGTCGTCGTCTTGGTCGTCGACGTCGCGAGAACCCGGAAAGATCCCTCGATGACGATAAACTCGCGTAAACGTCGCAATTAACGCTCTGCCGACCGGGCGAGTTCCCTCTCCGAGATGAAATCTGCATAAGTACCGGCGTGTCCTTGGATCAACGAGTCGGCTAAGGAGCACGGAATCCGACCGCGCGCGGATGCCTACCGGAATAGAAATAGAGACGCGGGATAGCAAGGAGCGTGGAAAGGGCGCGACTCGCAGAGGGGGAGGCCGGGGGGCCGCGAGTCGGACGTCTTATTCGTCGGCATCGATTTGATCGACGAGCGGAAGAGAAGCCGGAATCCTAGGAATCCGTCTGATTGAATCGGGCCGGAGCTCCCTCGAGTCCGAGTGGTCGCGCGCGGTTTGATAAATGTTGTCCGTCTGCCGATACGTCGGATAATATTTGCGAGCGGATCCGGTAGAAATCGAAAGGCAGGGGCGACTGGATCGCGTGTAATTCGATTCCATCCCGGCCCTTTATTCCGTTCGTCCGGAGAAGCAGCGTTCTGACACTCGTCCCACGGCCTGGACCGCGTTCTCGCTGCCTTCGCTCCGTCCCGAAGCCAATTTCTGCCCCCCGCCCCCCCTCCCCTCCCCGTCCCTCGCCGACCACCTATATCTTGAATTATGTTTCTCATATTTTCTCCCGCCGCGTCCCGAGCATCGTTCTTCGGGGCCACGTGCAAGTCCGAGAGCGTTTCCCTCGACCGAGCCCTCGAAGAGGAAGAAACCGAAATTCGCGTAACGCGATAGTCCGATGGTCCTTTTTCGTTCCTAATCATCGTCGCGGCGACCAGCGCGTCGCGAAATAAGGAATATCCTCGTTCTCGACGACACTCGTTACGGGAAAGCCACCCCTTTCGCCTCGGATGTCACGCACCGGGGCGAGGGTGGCGCGCTTTGGATCGCGTTACCCACCGCTTCCACTACCATCACCACCACCACCACCCTCTGGACTCGGGCTCGTTTATTATTTCGACTGGGAAATTTCGAGTCCCGCGAAGGAAGGAAGGAAGGAAGGAAGGCCTCGCGTCGTTTCGTCCCCCTCGGAGCGGCGCGACGGCCGCCTCGGATTCCAGGGGCGTAATTAAAATTACGACGGCGTCGGTCAATCGTCGCCCGTTGGACTCGCGGCGAGGAGAAGCGAGGCGGGCAGGAGCGTGGGGCGGGCGCGTATCGACGTTGGCGTGCATCGTTTATCGAAAAAGCCACGGCGATGGCGGCGGCCGCGGGGGCTGCCGGCATACTTTCGCCAATTAGCCCGGCTCTTTGTCCTTTTCAAATTACAACTGTTCCCCGTCATTATCGGAACGCGCGTCACGCGTGCACGATGCTTTTGATTTTTCGCCCAAGCAACAAAACGCGAGCAAACACCGCCGCCCCCGGCCCGCCGTCCCTCTGCCCGACGAACGCGCAACGATTCCGGCGAGCGAAACGAGAGCGCGTTGATTAAAAATCGCGCGCGCGCGGATAGAACGCGCGGTGAAAACTCGTTGTTCCGAGTGGCGCGTCGCGGCCGATTCCACGCGAGCGATCCGGAATCGCCAGGCCGCTTTCTTCGCGTTCGAGATACGCCTCTTAATGAACTCCCGCTGCGCGGCCCGCTCGTTCCCCGGCATCGGCCAGGGAATCCCCGCGGAGTTCGTCATTACCGAATCAAAATTAAAGGCAAAGATCCGGAGAAGGGCATCGTTCGTTCGGCTTATTAGTCGCGTACGTACCGTATACCACGCTAATGGATACGACGGGGATTGATACGGTTCAATCATCCACCGTACGAGATACGCGTCCGAAATGGAAGGGAGCCGAATCGGTATCGCCTTTGTACCCCGTATCTGTGCCTGTGCCAGCCATGTTCCACCACCGATTCCCTCCCGTTTCCACGCCAATCTCCTTCGAGACGAAGGCTTCTCCCCGTTCGCGATTAAAATTCGCGACAGAGGCGAGCGAAGAAAACGCGGCGCATTTAACGTCCTCGCGGTTCGCAGGATGGTCGGGACGGGGAGGCGGCGCCTCGCTAATTATTCGCGACTAGCGGCACCAGCGGCTTGGCCGCGCTCGCAGACCCGTAGGCACGCGTAATGAAATCCATGATGTATTAACGCGGCCGTGTAAAGCTCGTGCGCCAGGCTCTAGGTGTCTACTCACGCGAGGCTAGGTAAACTCGCGGCTAAACGCACGCCGGCGCGCGTAAACGCGCACGCAAACGCTCCGTGGCCGGAACCGTGAAGACGCTGGGCCACCGACGTTCTCCGCAATATTCGGCTAATTGCGAATTTAATAACCTCGCTCGGTCGTTGCAGCGTGCTACGTGCGACTACGAGAACGATAGGAAGACGACGAGGTCTCTCGGAATCGGTACCCCGCGCCGCCCCTAATTCCAACGGGTCCATCTTCATCGTCCGCCCTCTTCGCCCTCCGTCCCGACCCTTTTCTCCGCCGGACGCGTCGGTATCCTCGTTCACGGACGAATTTGCCGGGGCCGGCGAGGGACCGGGGGGCCGCCACCGGCCGAAAACGGAGGCGGACCGAGATATCCATCGGTCGTCTTAATCGACTCGTATTACCAATTAAAATTTAATTATCCTGGAAATTAAGTCGTTACGATATCGAAGGCGCGGTAGCGCGCGCGCGCGCGCCAGCGTCAGCGGGTGCGTCTATTATTGCGATGCTGGCGTCGGTGGCGGCGCGCAAGGGGTGGGTGGGAGGCGGTGCTCGCGTCCTTCGTAGCTCGTATCTCGCGAGCGAATCGACCTCTGCGTAAAATTTCCAGGCCTCGTAAAATCGGTCGTCGAACGAGCCCTAGCGAGATACCGCCGCGTATTTCGTAGTCGTCGAAAGCATCTTCGCTTCGCTCCGCTCTGCCGTGGAAAGGGAAACGCGCGGAAGGAGGGAGGGGGAACGGAAAACGAAGACGAAGACGAAGAAGAAGAGGAGAAGAGGGTGGTGGAGAAAAGAGAGGAGGGATAGAGAGAGAGAGAGAGAGAGGGAGATGCTCTCCGGCTGCTCTCCTCCATTCCGCTTAACGCGGCAGTAACTTATCGCTCGTAGACGCACGGTATTTCTCTCCGGCTCTTTGAAAGCATTTTCTCATTAAAAAATTAAGGTTCGAGGGGTCTCGAAGGGAGAAAGCGGTCGACGAGTGGGGGCGACGGGGCGCGCGGGGGCGGGCCGAGGTCTCGCGGGTTCGCGCGCGGGGCGGTTTGCGGCGGGGGTGGTCGGGACGGGTCGGTAAGTGCTCTGCGGCTCCCAGATGCGCCCAATATTATGTTTAACGATATTAACTTCTTACTTAATGGTCCGCGGTTCGATTCGAGGTGCGAAGAGGCGCCCTCGGTCCTCGCGGTCGGCCCCCGACCCGCGGAAAAAAACCAACTATACCCGGGAGAATAATTTTCCGAGCGGAGGAAAAGGAACGGCGGAGGTACTCGTGGCGGGTGGAGTGCCTAATCACCCGAGAAACACCCATTTTCGAGCGACTTTGCGTGCCTCTCCGACGATAAATTCCCCAAAGTCAGCCCCATCCTCCGCGCGACGATTCCTTCGAAGACTCGACGCGAGGACCGTTCCTCCGAGCTTCCGCGCGGCCACGGCGATACGCGGAACGATACGGGAGCGAGATTAAAAGTTGCTCGGTGCCGAGACATAAAGACCGGCCGGTGCGTATAGCTTAACGAGCACCGGGCGCCTCGTAAAGCCGAACATTCGAGGAAACGGCGAGGGAACCGGGAAGGAAAATAAAAGACGGGAGCCTCGCGACTACGGGACACGAATGGACGACGAAGACGACGACGTCGTAATACGAGAAACTCGCGAGCGACCGGAGAGCGCGAGCGAAGCGTGGAAAGAGGATACGCGGGCTAGCTGGGACGGGCGGCGATGGAAATAAAAGGCGAGGGGGTGCGTGTAGGCCGGTTTTACGCGAGAACGCGCGATCCCTCGAGGCGACGCGCGACAGGTCCGCGCGCGGTAAAAACTGAGCGGAATCGATTAACGACCGATAATCGGATGGAACGCGCGGCCGACAGAGAGACCGGCACTTATCTTCCTACGCGACCGGCTCGCAGCCGAGACTAGAATAATTATTTAATTAATGCCCAGCCAGGCCGAGTACACCTCCGCTCTGGCCGATTCGCATCCACCCGCCGGAATCGATACTAACGCTTTTCCCCGTCTGCTTTGCTGCTTGCAGGCTCCGCGAGGAGAGAGGAGACGCCGAGAGGGCACTCGCGTTGGACCAAAAACCCAGGGATCTGAGCTCGCACAATGGTAAGATAAATACGCGTACGCTCGTTTACCGTAATTATAGTAATCGGCCGATAATACGGCGAATAACGCCGAGTCGTATTATGGCCCGAGCACCATTACGCGGACGATGAGAATCCTTCTTCTTCTTCTCCTCGCGACCGGCCCCCGATCCTCGTGATCCGAGGCCGTCGCCGTTTTCCCTCGCGACGCGACGCGACGCGACTCGACGCAACTCGACCGTGTCCAGAGTCCGAGCTGGACCCCGGTCCCTTTCTCGATTTCTTTATTTCTCGTCGCTGGCCCGGCCGAGCGTTTAGGCGGCCCGGAGAGAGATTAAGTCCGATATCGGGTTACGGGGCACCGCGCGGCTCCGCCTTTCTTCTCATTCCCCGTAATATTTTAATCCGTTCGATCGAACCTTTTATCCCGAATGGCGAGCGTGCGCGCTGCTCGGCCAGGCCGGCGCGACAAACTCGACGTTTCGAGTTCGAATCCGATCGTGTTCGTCTCGCGGGCCCCACGCAACCTGCGGGCCCACCCTCCCCCCTTTGCCACGGGGATTTCGACGCGGACGTCGACCGCGATCAACTCGGCGGGGTCTTTGCTTTTCGCCGTGTCTCGGAAATTCCTCTCGATTCGACGAGGACGCGAGGGCGCAATTTCCAAAGCGTAGTTGCAAACGATTGGACTAAAGGACGAATTGCCCCGACAGGTTCCTCGAACGGCCACAGTCCCGTGCTGAACCTGTCGAAGACGGCGGGAAGCGGAAGCGTGGGCGAGCATTCCGGAAGCGAGGCAGAGGCGTCCCACCGTTCGCAAGACGACGAGGAGGAGGACGACAATCTGTCCGAGGACCTGGACGACGACAACGAGAAGGACGAAGGTGAGAGAGCGTGACGAGGACCACGGTCCTCGTGGAAAATGCCGCGCGACCGATCTCTCCTAGGCGTGGATCGATACGTCGGCCGCGCCGATCGGTCGATCAATTAAACGCAGGTAGAGCGTGACGGTGGATTTGACGTGTGCCGAAAGTCGAAACGATGTTGCCCGTTCCGCGCGGCACGCATACGTAAAATAATTATATCGAATGGACCGGACAGACCGCGTTTAAAGATGAGTTCCCCGGGACGACTGGTAGGTCAGACCCTCTCATCGATCATCTCGGGCCCGCCGCGGAACGACGTTCTCTGGGATTCGTCTTCCATCCGGCGTCCCGAACCAACCTCTGAGGCCTCTCCTCAGCGGTTGTCAAAACTTGTCAGCCGTGCACGCTGAAATTTTCACCGAGAGGCGTCCGCGATTTTACGCCCTCCGCGTGCCCCGTCCACTTTTCCCCGTCCCCTGTCGCGTCTCGTCCTATCCAGCAGCGACCGAAAATATCGCCACGATGGAAAACATTCAGCGTAGACGTTTCCACTTACCCCCGTATCCTTCGTTTCTTCTCTCCCTGGGTGGGAAGACGAGTTCGTTCCAGGGACTTTGTCGCCAACGGATCGCAATTCCGCCCAATGCATCGATCATTCGAGGCACAGAGGCTCTGTTGGAGGGAGAGGCGCGATTTTAAAAGAGAATTTCGTAGCTGCAGGTGGTGGAAAGTTATTGGATGGTGGTCGGCGAGAGAGAAGCACCACTGGCGGTGGGGCCCGTCGGTCGTTAGACTCGCATCTTCGGTATTTAGTTTCATTTTAATAATGAAAGATGGGTCTAGATAAAAATCTCGGCCCGTAGGCCGTGGTGCTATCTCTCGGCTGTCCCGGCGCTTCGACGCACCGAAGCGTCATAATCGCGGTGATTTCTAATCGATTCGCCGATTGTCCGCGCGCCACGCGTTAATTGGATATTCCAATTAGAGGCCGCGCGAGTCTTCGCCTCGGCTGGCGAGAGGACGGAAAAGGACGTCTTCCTAACTCGCCTCCCTCGAAGCGAAAAAAGGCGAATCCAGGGGAGTGTAAGAGGAAGGGTGGGCGAGAGGGTGGAAGAATCGGAGAGTCGCGGAGAGCGCGGATCGGTAGCGAGAGGCCAAGGACCTCGAGAGAGAGAGAGAGAGAGAGTGCTCGAGACTGCGGAGAAACGGTAAACGGACGCGGTCAACGGGAGATTAGAGGAGCGAGGGCGCGGGGTGGAATTAGCGGGCCCCTAAATTTCGGGAAAGGCACGAGTTAGACGTATAAATTGTGGTGGTCGTGTACCGGAGGGGGAAGAAATCCGTGTCTCGCAGCGTGTCGTATACATCGGCTACATCCTACCTATGGTGCTCGCGGTGATCGAAGTAGAACCCCATCGAACGCCCGTGGGAGTGTACACGCCCGTGGAATGCAGTTCTGATTTAATGAGACGCGCCGCTATCTCGCTCTCGTTCCTGGAATCCGATCCACCGCGATTCGCTGCTTTCTTCGCCCGACTTCCTGGAGATTTCGTCCGATTCCATCGTACCGGCCGAGGTTGGCTCGCGGGGCCCTCGCGCGGGGCCCCGAGCAGAGAGCTCGCGGGCCCCCGCGAAATTTCTCGTGGTCGCGTAGGGGGGAAGACGACGCCGCGGTGGCCCTTGGCCTCCGACGCAGATAATTGTAATGGGTTTCGGAGCGAAGGACACCGGCCGGTGAAGCGGTCGTGGTCGTTCGGGAAGAAATCGAGAGGAAAAAGGGCGAAGCGAGAGGAGGGAAAAAATGGAGAAAAAGGGAGAAATGGGGAGAAAAGGGGGAGAAAGGGAGAGGAGTGGAAGGCTCTCGCTATCAAAAGGTGCCGGCGGATCGGCACCGAAGGCAGCCGCGCGAGCATTAAATCGGCCAATGGCAATAAGTAACCGAATGCCGTGGCGTTGTAGGTGCGCGCTGATAATTAAAAGACGATACAATAAAGCACGTATCATTGGCCATAAAGCAGCCGGGGCTAAAGCCCACGGTGTGGGCCGTAGGAGCGCGCGGACCGGTCACTTAAGCTCCGTAGAACCCACGCAGACGTCTTGTCTCGCCACTCTACGGACCTCTTCGGCAATAACCATAAGGCATCCTTTATTCCGGCGATCCCGGGCCCCGGATCCTTCCATTCGCTCGCTTTAACCACGGTTCCTTTCCTCGGTACTACCCAACGACGAAAACCATGCTTCCAGGCTAATCGTCGATAGAGAGAGAATAACGAGGCTACTCCCGCCTCTTAGCTCGCGCGTTCGCTCTCTCGCGCGCGCGCGCGCGCGCACACGCCTGTTCTTGTAGTACACCGCGTGTCCGCCGCTAGCGGGCCCCTCTCGCCCGATGGCCGGGACAGCGGAGGAGAAAAGGAGAAAAAGAGGAGAAGCAGAAACGGAAAAAGACGTTGGTTCCAGGAACCACGCGTCCTTCGTGGAATCTGCAGGGTTTTCCATCCCGAATCCCATCCCGCGGCGCGCGATAGCCGAGGATAAATCGCGCGGCTGGAAAGGAACGACAATTCGGTGTTCGTCCCGGTTCCCCCCCACTGTCAGTACACGCGGGTCGGCTAATCGGTCGGCCGAGTGCCGTTTTAATTCGCGAATTTAATTCGTCCGCGGTGACGTTAAATCAGAGACGTGGCGAAGGGTAACAAGTAGTCGTCGCGGGATTACGACTCTGGAACACGCACGCGTTGTAACTCTCCTCGAGGGAGAGAGAGAGATAGAGACCTCCCTCGAACGTTGTTCCCTGGATCCTTGGGCGAAATTTATCGGCGACGCGACGCGCGATCGCGTATACGCGGTTCGCCGAGCAAAAAGGCTAATAGGCGCGAGTCCGCTGGTCGTGGTGGCCGTTCCGCTCGCGTGTACCACGACCACGCGACGACGATGGAAAAGAAGATCGC